AAATTGTTTTTAATGATAACTATATAGATATACACGTATTGTCATGGTTTCAAAGTGTATTTAAAGCAGGTCTGGCTGCAGCTGGATGCCATACAACTGTTAATAGCCAAGTGTATGATGATCTACGTCATGATTCTATGTTGCTGATTAAATAAAATCATATGGTAATGACAGTGTATGCATGTCTGAGCTAAGCGTACGACTATCTGACAACGTATGCTGATCTGACAGAACACCGTGAGTTCGTGTTAAGCGTATGACGATCTGACCTGACAGAACACCCGTTCTTTGTTCTTGTAATGCTCTGTGTACCCATCATCATTATTTAATTTAATTATGTACGTTGATATTTAAATTAACAAATAACTAAAACACAAGAATGAAAGAGCACGCAGAGCATGCACATTGCTATTGATTGTTTTTGTTCAAAGTGGCAGCTGTAATGTCTGCCATGCTGTCAGACTACCTGGCTTCATGTACTGGGATAGAGAGAGAAAACAGTCACGGTGAGCGCCTTCTGCTTGGTTACTTCTTGCTTGTTGCTCCTTGGTCAGTGTTCATAGTTGAGCCTTATTTACCTTCAGGGCATTGCCTCAATTGCTATGTTTAATGGTGCAGACAGTGGAGGTTTCTTACAAGAGCAATATGGGCAAATGCCCAGGGTGTTATGTTTTTAGGGATGGCACGAGACCATCACACATTGTAGCACAGAAATTGAATATTTAATAGTGGTAAAATGTATTAAGTATTTAATATCTAGGTGTTTTTACGGGAATATGGATCTTTCAGATTATTTTGAAAAGCAATTTTGATCATATTTTACATTTTATTGTGTCATGTAGCGCGGGCCGCTGGTCTTGGTCTTGACTCGGTCTCGACTCCCCTCGGTCTTGGTCTTGACTTGGTCTCGGACCCCAAAAGTCTTGGTCTTGTCTCGGTCTCGATACACTCTGGTCTTGGTCTTGTCTTGGTCTCGGGTTGGGTGGTCTTGAACACAATACTGCTAAACCGTCTCTGTGTGGGTTATTCTATATGAATCTGTGTGGTATCAACTTCACTTTTGCACTGAATTACTGAAATGAATCCCACTTTCCATGACAATCTAAGTTTAATATGGATCAATTTAGAGATTTCTTTTCCAGCAAAGTTCTTTTTTCCTTAATTATTAAAAAATAAACATACTTCTGTTTTTGTTTTTGAATTAATACTCTTCTCCAGGTTATGGTTTGTTTCTTACCCATACAACTGGCAGCTTCTCTGATTTCCCTCAGTTTCAGTAAAATGGAGGACTTCATTTCTGGTGCATTTGAATGATGAATACAAACCATAACATGGACTCTGTCGTTTAGAGATGGGGACGAGTTGTAGTCAGAATCCCCATTAGACAGTGGAGCCAGAGGATTGAACTGTAACATGTAAAAAAATGGTAATTTATGTATCTAAGGATTTGACAGATAAATTAAGCTTTTATTGTTTTGCTGACAATGTTACTTGTAGTTGGAGGCAATAAGAACTTTTAGCTAAATATACCTCGTATCCCTCCTTTACGTGCCCCATCATAGCCAGCTTGATGTCGTGTGTGTGGATTCCTCTTCCATATCCTTCCTCCAGGCCCATGGTGTCATTGAGCACAAGGCAGTAATAGTTTCCTTTGCCTCCTTTCCGGATCCAATGAGCTGAATACTGACAGTTTCTACTGACGTTTCTCCCTAGCTCCTTATTTCAAGCATTATTTTATGTGACAAATAACAAATGATCAAACATCTTGTGTTATTAGATATAATGCAACACTTACATCAACTAGTTTAGGGCAGGTGTCTCTGAACATTTTTAAGAGTTAAGGGGCTTCCAGCTCATTGGAGATGGTTTTAAAATATGTACTGACTTTAATTTTAGGTTTAAATATTTGAAACCGTTTCTGTGTTTCCCTCTAGGCCAGGATCCTTAAGGGAAAAAGATCTTTTAAATCTCAGCAGATGTGTTTCCAGTGACCTTAAAATTGCACAGATATGAATTACGACAATAAATTTACTTAATGGGAACATGCTGATTTCAAAAGGCAATTTTTTTGCAAAAAAAAAAAGTTTTTTGTGCTAGGATGAGATGGTTTTTCGTCTGTATTGAAATTAATACAGACATCATAAAACTTTGTTGCAAGATTAACAATCGGATGTTATTCCAGATTATTTGGATCCTGGCGCGGTTTGTTTTTAATGACTTATGAAGTCAGCAAACTTAGTCATGTGATTTTAAGTGTTTTTCTTATTTAATCGAAACACTGCAATTGTGAAATTGTGGTTTTTGAGACAATAGCAGAACATTAGCAAATGACGGTTTTCTGTTTACACAATTACATTACAAGGGTCGGAGGAAACTTTCAGGATACTATTCACACTAAGTAATTTCTCAAAATGAAGAATAAATATACTTTAAACAAAAGTACACAAGACACAAAAGCCAGAGTTTATGTTCATGTCAGTCTTTCTGTTTATACACAAGTTTTGTTATTTTATTTTCTATCTTCTGAGCCATTTAAGAGGCCAAATGAAAACACAGTAAACTGTAGATATTGTCACTGAAAATACTTGACCTTGTTCAAATATATATACACTGTTGACTGTAAGTTTTAGTTCCATGAGTTTTACATTGATTGGAAGAGTATCAATTTTGCCTGAATTTGATGTTTTGTAATTATGTTATGTAGGTATTATTGGGGCCTGCCCATAGCAATTCAAGTAAGAGCTGCTCTTACTTGAATAAAATCTCTGGGCGTTTTCCCAACCTCTCCCTGATTTCAAATTTCAGCACCTTATTGTTGCCAAGTTGCTGAGTCATGTGGCTCTGCAAAGTAACCCGTTATGCAGTAAACGCCCTGATAATGATAATTGGGCTTCCTGTAAACCAGGTGACTGACATGAATCCATGAGTGAAAGTGAAAGATTTCTTTTCAAATAACCTGTCGGTCCCAGCAGTAACAAAGCAAAGGTAAGAATAAAGCTTTTTAACTATTTTATTGTTAAAAAATATTTTTATTGTTAAAAAATATTTTATTGTTAAAATAGTTATTGTTAACTATTTTAACAATTTAATTAAAATTGTTAATTAAAATAGAAAAGATTTGTAGGCAGGCTAGCAAATATTTTCATGGAAATCCCATTGTTGGCATTGTTTTCTATCATAATTTTCCCCTTGTTGTTTCTCTGTGTGTTCAGATTGTCATTACAGGTGAAACCTTTGGGGCACATGAAGCTTTGATGGAACAAGTTGAGAAGAAGCTCGATGGAAAAATCAGCCTGGAGAAGAAACACCACCTCATTGTTTTCTGTCCATGGACAAAGTGAAATGTATGAAATAAAAATATCTAAAATAAAAAAAAATAATAATCTATATATATATATATA